GGTACTGGCACTGCCTGGCAGAGGTAGCCCCGGGCCCTCAGCAGGCTGGAAGCAATAAAGGTTCTCATGAAAAATCTAAATTTACCTGGACATTCAGGCACCCCCGCCCGCTGCCCACCCCTCATCTGCTGAATGACGGGTCTGCCCTGACTCAGGAACACCAGCTTCAAACCAACTAAGGATTTGGAGGACCACCTGTCACTTGGGGGATGGACCCTTACAAGGCTGCTTCTCAAGAGTTGGGTTCTGGGTCTTCAGTGCCACTGGTGAGCTGAAGGGAGCCCTGGTGGCTCTGTGGGATGTGTTGGGCTGCGAACCACAAAGTCAGGAGTTCCAGCCCGCGGGGCATTCCTCAGGAGAAAGACGAGGCTGGCTTGTCTCAGAAACCCGACACACAGTCAGTAGGAGCCGGTGGGTGTTCTTGTTTTGGGTCAGTGTGGAAAGAGGGCTTTGCCGGAAGAAAAGGCTTGGACCCAACCTCTCGCTGGCTCAGCTCCTTCCTCAGTGTCCTCAGAGGCCAAGCCCACTTAGCTGCAGGTGTGGGCTCACAGGTGATCTCACCGCACACTTCTAATTTGTGGTGTGGAGGTGTCTGCCTTGCAGGAGTGAGGGGGATGGGGAGGGCAGAGGTGGTAGAGTTCTTCCCTCCCATGCATGAGACCCAGGTTCAACTCCAAGTGGTGCGACTCATGTGCGGCACACCTATCTGTCCATGGGGGCTCCTGTATTGCTATGAGGTGGAAGAGATTTCAGCTGAGGCTCCACTGTCAGGTGCGTGAGGAAGAAAGGCACAGGGCCAGGCAGTGTTTTACTTCTTTGCGTATGAATAGGGGGTTGACCTCATGGCAGCCACCACCACCATGCATGGTGGATGATAAAATCCAATGAGATGCATTCCATCACATGGGACCATCTAGAACAATTACAGTACCACTCTCAACTCTGAGAATGTCCCAACCACCTGTTGAGTAACTCTACAAGCTACCATGAAACAGGGGCGGGCCACACGTGGCTAGGTGCTGCCAAGTCAGGTCTGAGTCACACCAACCCTACCTAGAACGGAATGAAACACTGCTCAGTCCTGTGCCACTCTTGAGATCATGACTGACTGTTAGGTTTATTGTGCCAACCAGCCAATAGGAACATGGAGGATTACTCAGGTCACAGTTTGATTGGAGGGCAATGAAATAAATGGCTCTGCAAGGCCTGGCCCCCTTTCTCTTGCTCTCTGGTTTTTGGAGCCTGCTGGACCATGCTGCAACTTTAGCTAGTTCTCTGTCTCAACCTGTGAACTACACTACCTGTGGGCCAGGCTAACCTTTGAGACCTGCTTTGCTACACTGTTGGTGCAAACACTGCTTGAGCATGAGGCAAGTGGATCCGATTGCCTTGCATTTCTTGTATTCCATATCCCATCCGGGCCTGCTTCACTAAGCTCCTGAGCTACTAGCTGTCGGTCACCCATCCTACTGCTTGCTGTCTGTGAGCAGACTCTGCTTGCCTTGCCTGAGGGAGGACTCTGCTGTCTGCTTCCTTGACCTTGGTCCCGGCAGCCCACGTGAGCTGAAGGACTGCCAGTATATTAACTGTTCCATGGAAGTGAGTTGCACTAAGCCCTCTGTACTGTTGTGTGGACTAATTAGCTGTTATATTCCTTCTCTCTGTAGAAACCTATCCATATGTATATATATCAAATTATAAGTGTCCTGGTCTCATTTCTCTTGAGAACCTTGTCTAACACAGTTACGCCTGAGCCCCTTGTTGAAGTCACTATTGTCAATGCATCCGGTCAAGGGTCGCTCACTCTACTAAGCACAATATCCTTCTCCAGGGAATAGTCCCTCCTGATAACATGTCCAAAGTGCATGAGATGAAGTCTCACTATCCTCACTGTTAAGGAACAGTCAGGCTTTACTTCTTCTAAGACAGATTGGTCTGTTCTGGCAATCCACGGTGTACGCCAACTCCATAATCAAGATGCATGGTGGATTCTTCTGCAGTCTTCCTTATTCAATGTCCAACGATTACATGCTGATGAGGTGATTGAAAATATTGAAAATATCATTGAGTCAGGGAAACTTAAGTCCTCAAAGTGACATCTTGCTCTTCAACACTTTAACCAGGGCTTTAAAGTTGGGCTGCTAACTTCAAGGCCAGCAGTGAGAAGGACGGGGCTTTCTACTGCCTTAGAGTTACAGTCTCAGAAACTCACAGGGGCAGTTCCCCCTGCCCTGGAAGGTTACTCTGAGTTGGCATGGACTCCACGGCAGTGAGAAAACTCTGCGGCACGGTGTCTCCATGACCCACAAGACAGCACAGCCCAAGTGAAGCCCCAGTTAAACTATGGACTTCAGCTGTAAGCAGTGAACGCGCATGCATGTCAGTGTTAATAACAGGGCATGGGTCAGGCCGCAAGGGCGGGCCAGCCTATGGCACCCGCAGCCAGTTCTGCACCATTTGGCAATGAAGTCTATTCAGAAAGAATGCAGGGTTTGTGATGGTAAGTCCCACCAGGGTCCTTTAGGATCCAGCGGGAGGGATTTCAGAAGGGCAGGGCCCTGACACTTGGCCCCCACCTTTTTCCTGCTGGCCTCTGCCATCAATGGGGGCTTCTCCCCGAACAAGAATGAAG